GCTCAAGAGTGCAAGCTCTGAGCAACGGGGTCGCCGGTTTGATTCCCAGCCTGAGTGCCGCTGAGCTGCCAACAGGTGGCAGGATGGCTCAGCTAAAAAAAAAAAAAACACACAAAAAACCACCACCAACAACAAAAACCTGTTTGTAACAAGAGCCTCCCTCATGCCACGGGGATTGAGTGAGCATCTTCGGGATGTGGCACGCACTGTGCTCAAGACCCAGGATGACACAGAGCCGCTGGGACCTTACCAAGGCTTAGAGGCCCGCAGAGGAAGAAAGAACAAAGCAAAACACCAGGGCAGGACAGAGGAAGGCTCCTTTCTCAGGCAAACACTTGGGAAGGCAACACTCATTTAGACAGCCAGCCCCAGTGCCCCCAAAGCTGCCCCCAGACCCGCCTCCTGGTCTGGAGTGTGCCCGCCCTTTGCCAGCACCACCCCGGCTCCTGCAGTGCTTCCTCTTGACATCTCCATTTAAAATCACCCTGCATCGTTTTTAAGACCCAATTTCATTCCTCTTAAAGCTCTCCGAAGTATCCCCTTTGCTGTCACATCACCCACAAGTTGCGCTTCTGCCTGTTTTCCCACAAATGTTTAATGCTTTGCATTCTTCACTTCTTATACCTGTCCGGGGCTGAGGCTCTGGTCACACACCTGTGGCTCTGTGAGGCTGAGAATGCCTGGAAGGACAAGGGCTTGGGCTTACCCACACTTTTTTCATCCGTAGCATCTAGCAAGTTACCCTTTCTGTTATTTCTATCTAGCAGTAGATCCTCTCTAGTATATATATATTTTTTTAAAGTCTGCTTTAAGGCCCCAAAGTCACATCCTGTGATTTGTCATGCTGGCAAAGGATCACTGACTCTAAGAACACTTTGTCAGATTTCATTTTTACCATTTTCATAGGCCGCATGGATCCAATGTACGCTACGTCTGTATTCCAGAAGGATAAGTCGGGGTATTCACCAGGCTCCAGGATAAAAGGGACGCCCTGAAATCCAGATTCTTCATAAATCAGCCATCTAAATAGGCACCAAGGAAGGAAAGAAACAGAGACAATTAATCATTTATTTCAGTGGTACACAGAGCCCCAGTGATAAGCAAGGAAGAGAACAGGAGAGGTTGGATCTGGACGATGTAGGGTTTTACTTAGGTATTAGAGCCATGTTAGACTCAAGGAGGAATAAGCCATTATGCACATCTCTTCTTAAGAGTCTTCTGCTTGTCTCCTTAGCTGGCTTTGTCCACTTATTTCA